CCTTATTCACCACCCAAGACCATGGATTCTAGACTAGTCTGATCTGTAAGAGGGGTCAAAGCAGCCGGAGCAGGCATGGATGGAGGGAAAGAAATGAGAACCAAAAGACATCAAGGAGCTGATTTGTTTGAGAAAAGCAGTGATTCCTCGAGTCACAGCTTCCAGTGGCTGAAATGTAAAATGCCTAAGAGAGCAGATCCATGAATTAAATGGATTGCTTTTGGGGAGGTGAAAGTAGTATGAAGAACATGAGATGACAAGAGTCTGAATTTTTTTTTAAAGGTTTCAACAGAATGTGGATGTATTTGAGCTTTTTAAAAGGATAGCGGTTTTAGAAAGGGCAAAACCAGGGCGCACAAAAGACTGGGAATTCCCATGACCCTTAAGCGCTTCCTGCTCCAGGAAATAAAGTGTCCACTGGAGGTCACACCAACTACCCAGGGCAAACTAATCCATCACCTCCCAAAAGCTTTTCAAACCACGAGTTCCCTATTTAGTTTGGACCCCAAGCAGTCATCTTCTTTAGTGGCCTGTAGACTCACTCCCAACTACCCTCCTGGGGGTTAAAAAAATAAAGGAATTCCCCCTAGGCTGGCCCCAGTAACTCAGCATTAAAGTAAGAAGAAGGGCTGGCAGCCTCCCGGAGACTAAAACAATTTGAGGCTAAATCTACCTTTCCAAGGATGGAAAATTTATTCAGATAATATTTGAGAATTCAAATATGCCACAATAGAATAAGAATTAAAAGGTCGAAATCCCACTCTTCCTTACACCTCTACCTCCCCTACTGCCCAAGCCATCCAGACATTTTACCACTGTCATTACCATTTCTTCTAAATGGAGGCCCCTAGGCACTAATCACACAGGCAAGTGCATGGTATTGTAAGAACCCACCACAACTTTTCCATTAAAAAGCTGTAGTCTCTGTCTCTCTGGCTACATTGGCGGTTCTCCGGTAACTTCAATACTTTAAAGGCTGCAGCAGCATGCAAAAGAATTTCATTTCATTTTTTTTAAAAAAAAAAAGTTAAGAAAGGTCTCCAGGAGATGGTGAGTTTTATTTGTCTTGTGT